CATTTTCACGTCAAGTTTGGATTTTATAAATCACAACCTTGGCGTAAAAAGTGGCGTACGCAAGTTTCTGGGCTCAAATTGTGCGGACGCCAGTTTTATAAATCCGACCCCAGAAAACGATACAGCAGGCTGTACTTGATGCCTCTCTGTAGAAAAATGTATCATTAAAGTCCACCTCCATCCTCATCATCACTTGCTCAGCCAGCCTCTGGTTAAGTACCAGAACACAAAATAAAACAAGACTTAAAAAAAACAGCCTCTTCCCCTGGGCTGACAGGACTTAATGCGCATATAAACCAGCAAACTACCTCCAAATGTTTTTTTTTTATTTTATTAGTGTTTTTTTAATATAGTAATTTAATTTTGTTGTGCAGGCAAACCTGTGCTATGACAATAAAAATTATGTATCTGGAAAAAACATATAATTAAATCTTCCAAAACAATTTGCAGATCAGTCTGAAGTTTTGTGTTTTAGCTACAAACTTCTATGTTAGAATCGTACTGTTTGAACTCCTTTGTGGCCTTTTTTTAGTTTTACTTGTTGGTTTTACATTTGTATTTTTTTCTTGGAGAGAAAAAAAACCTTTAATTAAAAAGTTAGTATCTGCCCCAGTACCCCACTTTAGCTTTTTCAGTTGTTACACTGAGTGGCTCTATTCAACCACACAAAGGCATGCTGGGTAAGTCTAATTTGGTTCACAGTACCAAACCACTCCCAGAAATAAACCTTTATGAAGCACAGACGTTACCTGGTGCTGCAAAGCTTTGCCGCCTTTTTGTGTGACACAGATGGAGACTTCTTCTTCTTCTTCTAAAATTTTCTGGCAGTACTCGGAATCCTTTTCCAGAATGTACCCGGTCTGCTCCACTATATCCTCCAAATGAGACACCTTGAAACAAAAACAAATAAGAAGTCAGTCAGTCAGTCAGTCAATCAATCAATCAAATCACATCTGCTTCTATGAAAGCAGAACAAAGTTCATGACTAAGGCTAAACTTATAAAAGTTTAACATTTGTCATGACATCGTACTACAAACAGCCAAACCTTCTTTTCTTATTAAAATTGGTCTTGAGAATTACAGTTTTTACATGCTTTTTAATGTATTTTTCTTTAAGACACTTGCATCTTTTTAAACTAATTTTAGTCAGATAAAAGAAGTGTCTTTAGCAACTTTGAAACTTGTAGCTTAATTTGTCTGTTTCTTTAGCTAAATTTCCATGTGAAATCAGTTCTTTGCTTTTTATAACTAAGAAACTTGTGTCTTGTAGGTGTCAAAAACAAACATTGTAATGGAGACATGCTTTTAAATCCTGCTTTTTCACATCCAATAAAATGGAACTGCAATGCTTTGGTCTGAATTCCTCCTTATTGTAACTCCACAAGCCCCTCTTTCACCTCTTTTCTGAGGTGTGTCTCAGATCAACTCGTTTTGAGGCTGTCTCTTTAAATCCAAACAAGGTGCTTCACACACTATCCCCCTCCAGCTTCCAGAGCGATTCATTCTAGTTTGATAGAGGGGTTTACGACTATAGCAGAGCAGAAACTTTTTATTTATTACAAATTCATTAAAAGACGTCAACAACAGACTTGTCCATCCAGCCTCACATGTTGGAGCCAGAGTCTGACCCAGAGGAGAATGAAGTAGCTGTAGTTGGTAAATCCAGACCTTATTTAGAAGTTTCATCACAAGTACTGACGTACCGTAATAGTTCAGAAAACATCAAATAAAATAGAGAAAACCGAACAGGTTAAAAAATATAACTGAGACAGATTAAAATATCTACACAGCACCAGGAGAAACTAAATTCAACTTTTCTGTTCTCCTAAAGACTCCAAGTACAACAAAATGTGTTTAATGGCTGGAAAAAAATGGACTTTGAATGACATGCCTCCCTTAAATAAAAGCCCATCAAAAAGCAGCCAAAGTCTAAGGAAATAATATAAATAAACAAACTTTCAAAACTACTGACTGAGATGAATAAACAAAAGTAATAAATGTTAAGAAACGGGAAGTGGCTCAAGATTTCTGCCAAGGACGAAGTTTGATTGTTTATCCAACAAAGCCCTCCTCCTACCTCCACTGGGAACGTCCGGCCTGGGATGGTTATCACCGGGCAGCGGTTGAAGTAGTTGGAGAATTTGTGGCAGTCCACCGTGGCGCTCATGAGGATGAGCTGCAGGTCCGATCTCCTCATCACCACATCTTTCAGGATGGTCAGCAGGAAGTCAGACTGGACGCTGCGCTCGTGGACCTGAGGGGGCGGGGTAAATGCTGTAACCCTCGAAGTGGGGAAAGGAAACTCTACAAACCGTGCGATTAATCCGAAGCCGTCAGCACCTCATCCACTATAATGTGAGTCAGCGAGCTGAGGTGCCGGTCGTGTTGGAGTTTCCTCAGCAGAACTCCGGTGGTGCAGTAGAGCAGACGGGTCCAGTCCCCGGACTGGTTCTCCATTCTGATCTGGTATCCGCACAGCGACGACTGAATTCAACACAAAACATCTGTTTAAACTCTAATTTGGAGAAAACTGTGCAGAATGTAAACAAAACCAGAATGCACTGACTTGCAGATTATATCATATAGAAGCTTAGAAATTATAGCAAATGTATGTATATGTGTGCATGCTTTAAAGAAAAATTATAATTTATTTTATTATTATATAGATATGTATTTTGTTGCTATGTTTTCTTATATCCATTTATTTTCAGGTAAGCAGACAGATGTTGGGTGTGTGGCCTTGAGTTTTCTTGGTGTATATTTAATATATTTTCTAATCTCTCTTTCAGTCTTTCTAATTACATCTCCTCTTTTTTCTCTCTCTTTTCCTCTTTCCATATAAAAAAAAATCACTGATGATGAAGAAATTAAGAAACTTATATTAAGTTCGTTTTTCTACTGAAGTGAAGGGGGAAAAAAAAGAAATTATACATATCAAATGGTTTTTTTTTTTTCACTTTTTCCACAAACGTCCCAAGTGATCTGCTTAAGCTGACAATCAAAGCATGAAATACTACAAGTTGAACAAGCTGGACCTTGGAGCCTGGTCCGTCGTCGCTGCCCAGCTCCTGGCTGACTCTACAGGCGAGGCTCATGGCTGAGATCCTGCGGGGCTGGGTCACCACGATGTTGCAGGGCCGAGCCGCTCGGCCCTGGGTCAACATCTCCTCCAGGAGGAACTGAGGGATCTGAGTGCTCTTCCCGCTGCCCGTCTCGCCGGCCACCACCACCACCGGGTGGCGCTGCAGAGCCTCCAGGACGCGGAGCCTGTGCTGAAAGACTGGAAGCTGCTCTCGCTCTGCCTTAAAAAGGTAAAACAACACTTTTTAAATAACAGAGCTTTATTTATATAAAAAAAAAACTAGGGATGTCCCAATCCAGATTTTTTGGCTCCCGTTACAATCCAATTTTTTTAATGATTAGTCTTTCCGATACCGATCCGATACCTTTATTTCTTTCCAAGTGACAAGGTTGGTAGTATTAAAGCGAGCCCTGCTGTTCCCACCATGAGAAACATCCAGTTTCTTTGCAAGATGCAGTTTGAGCATCATTGTTTTCCATTGAAAAGTGTTCCCACACTTAACCGCATAGTTGTAAACCAGGGCGATTCAACTAAATTGCTCCAGGGGCCACAGTTAATGCAGACCAACAGCTCAGGGGCCAAACATCCAGCAATTAAAGTTGTTATGTAAATAAACTAAGTATTACAAAGATCTGTTACTTTTGAAATAGTTTATTTTGCTGTATTTAATCATGAAAATATACAGAACCCTATTGTAGTGATGATAAAACAAACAAACAAAAAGAAACATATTATGCCTCTTATTTACCACAAAATATTTTTGATATCTCTGAACTGCCAAATTTTTAAACCAATTTTATTTTCACTTTCATAGTTTTATCTTCAACTGCTTGTAGTTTTAACTGTCTTGACTGTTCATAGAAATGGTTTTTACCAGCTTGTAGCCAAGATTCTGACGTTTCTGTAGACACCAAACATGTCGATGTTTAACTAAAATAACTTAGAGTAATTAAAGTAGAAAACCGGGGGTTTGGGCTTAAGAGATGAGTGAACCAATTGGCGGGCCGAACTTTGGTCACTCACAGGCCGGATGTGGCCCGTGGCCTGCCAGTTGAATAGCCCTGTTGTAAACATATCCGTACATTTTACTTTGTAATACTGTATGTTTCTGTTTATAATACTAGTTATTGTGTACAGTGTAAGTCTATTCAATTTTTTATATAGACCAAGTTTCTTTTATATATATTTTTTAATGTTTCCTTTTATCTTTTTGTATGTTTTTATATTGTGATCTGCATACAGGTGGGAATTTGCACTCAAGTTTTTCACTCACCTGTACGCTTGTGTTATGTGATGTGACAATAAATCAGAATTGAACTGTGGACATGGTTGCATACTTGTGTGCGTCTTGACTTCTTAACAGCAGTTGTAAAGCATGATGATGCTGAAAACTGTCGCGAAAACTGGATCGGCTCGATCACATGACTAAATCCAATTCTACCCGATTATCAAAAGATGGCCATATCTGCCACCGATACTGAGTATCTGATCGGGACATCCCTATAAAAAACACATTAGGAGGCGCATTTACCCGCAGCTTGAGGGCGAGGGGAGACTCTTTCTGCTTCAGGAGGAGCTCTCTGGCTGCTTCGAGCGCCGCTGCCTCTCCCCTCCTCCCTCCACTTTTCTCACTCTTCTCTTCCACTCCCTCTCCTCTCTCGCTGATGTCCAGAGCGGCCAGGTTCTCCCAGGATTCCTCCGGCTCGTCCTCGCCGGACCCACTCAGCCTGCGCTGCCCCCGGGATGCACTCTGCTGCCCCTGACCCGGGTCCTGCTGCTGCTGCTGCTGTTTGAGTCGAGTCAGGAGTCGGGAAATGAACTGGTCTCGAGGCTTGTTGGCGGCGGAGCGGCTCGCCTCCTGCTGCTGCTGCTCGCTGTCTCTCCACTCCAGCCACACGTCTCTGTAGGTCGGAGGGAGCAGCTGATGCACCGACTGGGAAACACAGAGGAGTGCGGATGCAGAGTTAAAAAATAAGCAGGTGCTGTCAAGGCTGACAGAACTGCTGCAGGATTTACCTGCCCTTTAACCAGGCTGTAGAGAGCCAGAGTGGCAGCCAGATGCTGCGCCTGCATGCTGTCCTCCGTCAGGATGGTCGGACAAACTTCCAACACATCTTCTGCTCTCTGAACCCGTGCCCTGAGGCACACAAACATGTCATGTAAGGAAGTTAAAGATACGTTTAAATACAATTTAAAAAAAAAAACAGTCTCGCTTACTTGCATCTCCAGTATCTGCCGGCAGCAACCTTTTGAAAAGAAGGCGCTGGACTTTTGGGTAGGTTCTTTCGGACCCAGTCGATCAGAAACTGTTTGGGAGACTTTCCTGTCCAGCTGCGAGCCGTGTAGTCAAAGTTACGAATGTCCTTCGGTTCGTTCTTTTTCACAACTGCGAGAGCAGTAAAAAACAAACCTACAGTCCCCACCGAGACTGTGAGCATCCTGGTGATGCATGAAAGACATTTTATTTTAAAAAACACGCACCTTTCTCTGCAGGCGGCTCCTTCTCTGCTCGTTCAAACAAATTAAAGCTGAGGTCCTCTTTGTCCTCGGTGACAGGAAGTGCCTTCTTTTCTTTCTGAGGTGCATCCACTACTTTGATGGCAGCATTGAAAATGGGATGGGACTCCAGCTGTTTCATTTCTAGAAAAAGAAAAATCCGTTTTACATCAGGAGGGAAACTGATGCTTTCATGCTTATTGTTAATTTTTGATCTATTAGAACATCTGGTATAAATTAGCTACTGTTTAGCCAATGTGCTGTTTCATAAGTGAAAAAGAAGGGCCAAATAAATTTGATAAATGAAAATAATCACATACCTTGCTGTATGACCCGTATACGGTCCTGTGCTGTTCTTTGGCCCATCTTGTCTCCTTTAATCTTAGAGTCAGCTGCCATTTCTTTAGCGTCATACAGCTGAGCAGTCAGGATCAAATACCTGTCATTCTAAACAAAAATACACAACACGTGTAATTATACAACAATACAGAAGGATATTTACTATTATTTTATTTATTTTTAAGAGTTAGATATACTACTCTGTTTTAAGATTTACAGCACTGATCAGTGGCAGCTGTTCTACTTTTGTCATGCTCATTTGATGACAATAAATGCTTTGAATTGAATTAAATAGAGCTAACAATCTCAAAAACTAAAAAAACTAAGTAGTACCTCCTCGAGTGGTCTGGAAATACATTAATTAAGTTTGTTTAATTCATCTTACTGGATCAAACTTTTCCTCCAGCTCAGGATTGCGTGTCTGTTCCTCCTCTTCTTCCTCCTCCTCGTCGCTGCTTTGCTCGGCGTACCTTAAGATCCAGTCCTTCATGCTCGCAGCTTCGTCCTTCTCTGTGACCTAACAACACACACAAACCTGAAGGCTCTGTTGCAGAACACAGCGGCTGCACAAGCCAATAAACGAACCTTAGGCGCCTCTTTGCGGGCGTCGATGGACACTTTGGGGCTCTGAGCTGCAGGTCTCTGCTGAGGAGGAGGCTGGAACTTGGGACGATTCTTCTGGTTCTCCTCCTGCAGCTGCTGGCTAAACCCATCTGGCAACTCCTCTGGAAAAAACAGATAATAAGACACAGAAAATCAGCTTTAAAGATTTGTTCCCCGCCGACATCTTCGTTACAAGTAACTGTGTTACTGACCGTCTTTAAGGTTGAGGCAGAGCCAGTCGAGAGCGGAGTGGAGATCTCCTCCATACAGGATAGTGCTCTTCATTGCCTCTTCGATGTGTTCTCGCTTAAAGTGGAACTTCTGCAGAGCTGTATACAGGTCCTGCAAGCACGGAGGAAAACTACAAATACCCTTTGACATGGAAGGCGAAGCGGCGATAATGTTGTTGATTGTGTCTGCGTGAGTTTGTATTGTTGACGGATTTTAATGAAAACTTCAGGAAAATAATTAATGGATGCTCATCGACAACTGATTACCTTTTAGAGTCGACTCGATGCAAGATGGATGTCACAGTTGAGTGAACTTACAGTGGTTTGCAAAAGTATTCATACCCCTTGAACTTTTCCATATTTTGTCACATTACAACCACAAACATAAATATATTTCACTGGAATTTAATGTGAAAGACCAACACAAAGTGGTATACAATTGTGAAGTGGAAGCAAAATTTTACATGAATCAAAACATTTTTTCAAATAAAAAACTGAAAAGTGTGATGTGCAAAATTATTCAGCCCCCCTGAGTCAATACTTTGTGGAGCCACCTTTTGCTGCAATTACAGCTGCAAGTCTTTTAGGATATGTCTCCACCAGCTTTGCACATCTAGTGACTGCAATTCTTGCCCATTCCTCCTTGCAAAACAGCTCAAGCTCAGTCAGATTGGATGGAGAGCGTTTGTGAACAGCAGTTTTGAGATCTTGCCACAAATTCTCAATTGGGTTTAGGTCTGGACTTTGACTGGGCCATTCTAACACATGAATATTCTTTTTTTTAAACCACTCCATTGTAGCTTTGGCTTTATGTTTAGGGTCGTTGTCCTGCTGGAAGGTGAACCTCCRCCCCATTCTCAAATCTTTTGCTGACTCCAACAGGTTTTCTTCCAAGATTGCCCTGTATTTGGCTCCATCCATCTTCCCATCAACTTTGACCAACTTCCCGGTCCCTGCTGAAGAGAAGCACCCCCAGAGCATGATGCTGCCACCACCATATTTGACAGTGGGGATGGTGTTTTCAGAGTGATGTGCAGTGTTCTTTCTCCGCCACACATAGCGTTTTGCATTGTGGCCAAAAAGTTCAATTTTGGTCTCGTCTGACCAAAGCACCTTCTTCCACATGTTTGCTGTGTCCTCAACATGGCTTCTGGCAAACTGCAAACGGGACTTCTTATGGTTTTCTTTTAACAATGGCTTTCTCCTTGCCACTCTTCCATAAAGACCACATTTGTGTAGTGCACGACTAATTGTTGTCCTGTGGACAGTTTCCCCCACCTGAGCTGTGGCTCTCTGCATTTCATCCAGAGTCACCATGGGCCTCTTGGCTGCCTCTCTGATCAGTGATCTCCTTGTTCGGCCTGTAAGTTTAGGTGGACGGCCTTGTCTTGGCAGGTTTACTGTGGTGCCATACTCTTTCCATTTCCGGATGATGGATTGAACAGTGCTCCGTGAGATGTTCAAAGCTTGGGAAATCTTTTTATAACCTAAGCCTGCTTTAAACTTCTCCAAAACCATATTCCTAACCTGTCTGGTGTGTTCTTTGGACTTCATGATGCTGTTTGCTCCCCAATATTCTCTTAACCAACATCTGAGGCCGTCACGGAGCAGCTGTATTTGTACTGAGATTAGATTACACACAGGTGGACCCTTTTGAGTCATTAGCAGTCATCAGGCAACTTCTGAATGCAATTGGTTGCACTCAGGGAAAAGGGGGCTGAATACTTTTGCACGTCGCACTTTTCAGTTTTTTATTTGTAAAAAATGTTTTGATTCATGTAAAATTTTGCTTCCACTTCACAATTGTATACCACTTTGTGTTGGTCTTTCACATTAAATTCCAGTGAAATATATTTATGTTTGTGGTTGTAATGTGACAAAATATGGAAAAGTTCAAGGGGTATGAATACTTTTGCAAACCACTGTATCAAACACAAACACTGCTATAACTCAGAGCCTAGTTTACAGCTTTTGAGCTTAAATTTGGTGTGGTGGTGGATGGGAGTTGTCCACAACTCATTTTCTGAACTTAAGATTTCACAATACCGCACAAGATCAAACAATATCATTTACAAGGTTCGACTAAATGATATACAATTATTTCTTCTTATTTAATAATTTTAGTTTTAAATTCTGACATATAAGGTGATAGGCATTCATTCACGAAATGCAGCTACACCTTTACTTAAAATGAGTACTGTAGGTATGCAGACAATACCAGGAGTTTTTTGCTTGTAAGTCTGCCAGATATGGGTCCTTTGTCCCCGTTGTTCTGTTGAAAGTCATTGATCAGCTTGATGATCTTTTTCTCCAGATCCACTTGAATGGACACCTGTGATAACAGGTTGATTCATAACTCGTTTTTCTGATTCTAAAACACATTTAAAAACAGATGACTTTAAATATCTCGGCAAATAAGACTTACTTTAAGGATGGACTTGTCTGAAACCCCACCTGTGTCCACCTGGGCTGTTCCAGTAAGACTGTAAGTCTTTGGAGCTGAAGGGAAGACAAAACACAGCGATATTTATACCACTGTAAAGCTAATTTTCCTGTTTGACAGTCTAGTTATCTAGCAAACGAGTTAGCAAATAGTAACAGATCAAATAGTCAAGGAAATATCTAAATTTGTTAAAAAATATGAGAGTAAGCAAAGCAAAATAAGCAGGGTCTGACAAGTGACAGTGATCAGAAAGGGGATAAATGAGCTCTAACGCAGACTTTTAACACTGGTGACAGTCAGTGATATTGATGTGCCTTTAATGAAGAGAATTAAATCTGCTACACCACCTTTGGACTTGCTCTCTTTGGCCGGTTTGTTCGCTTTGCTGTTGGCTGCGTGTTTCTTCGGGTTCTCCACCGCACCGGTCCCCGCAGCAGAAGAACCAGAACCGTCCGCTGCTGCCGCCGCAACTTGAGGCGCCGGCTTCTTCTTCTTCCCACCCATCAGGTCAAATTTTCCCTGCCCGACCGTGACCAGTTTACTTGGAAATGCGGCTTAAAAACATCACAGAGGTGTTCGATAGATGGACAGACAGTGAGCGTGTTGGCGCTGCATTCTTTTTGTACCACTCGGCTGCCGTAGCGGAACTGGCAAAAATCAACCTCGCGCTGCATCATGGGAATTTTCTTCCAGCAAACATGGCGGACCCCTTCGGAGACGGATTGTTCAGCGTGTTTGACGAAGAACAACAAAGTTCTGGCAGCAAAAAGATTCCCGCAAGCATCTCCACAGACACAGGGTGTGTTAAATTGAGTAAACAAGTGCTGTGTGTGAAGTTAAGAGTCATTTTAGTCTGTACCGCGTGAACTTAGCTTTACCAAGTGGATTCGTCTCGTGCAAGACCGAAATAATTAGCTCTGCTTTGGTTAAACTGAACAACTCACCATTTTTTATTTTAATTTATTGGCTTTGCTCAACTTTAGTTCAAAGCTACGATTAATTTTAATAAAACACACATTTTTAACAATATAAAACTCTTTAGCTGACGACTTATGTGCGGTTTTTTCCTGTTTTTTAGAAAAGCTGCCGGTATCGATGATGACAAAGATGCAGGTCCATCTCGGATCAAGAGGGAGGCTGACTGTGACGGAGGAGAGGACACGGTGTTTACGAAGAGGCCTCGACAGGAGACGGCTAATGATCTAAAGTAAAATACATTGTTTTACCTGACCAGAGCAAAAACAACAACACGGTTAATACATGCACTTTAACGGATACTGCCGTCTTTGCGCAAAGCATTATGGTCCAATTTGGGGGCATTCGGTGTCAGCTCTGGCTGTATGCATCTACTACTGTACGGTGCAAAATATTATTCATCTGCAGCCAGGGTTGTCAGAATGAGTATGAGTATGGGGTGCCACTACTATAGACTCTGTCACACACACTCACGAGACAACAATTATACTCACATACTATTAAAAGCATGCACACACACAATCATAAGACTACAATAGCCCATAAATACTATTAAAATATCAGACACCCATACTATTAAGAGCATGCACTCAGCCCTAAAGCACCTAACACAGCTTGAATGAGAGCTAGTACCTGTGTGTGTATGAGTCAAAGAGTAGAAACGGTCCTTTTTGTCCCACAGAGGTGAAGTTCAGGTATAACAGCAGCAACAGATGCACCAATTCACAAAACAATATATTGCTATCCAACAACAGCAATAATACTGCAAAACACGCCTCAGTGTTTTTTTTTTTTTTTGTTTGTTGTTGTTTTGTTTTTGTTTTTTGCTGGTTGTATCCAATTTATTGTACCAAACCTTGTTAAACTAACTGATCCAGACACGTAGAAAGCCTTAACTCCAGAAATATGAAACAGATTGCCATAAACACCCCCAAATTTCACCCAGATCAGAGCAGTATCACTCTTTAAATGCAGAAAGTTGCAGAGGACCGGTGTTTTGCACGCAGCTTTTCTCCAACTCTATTACTGTGATCAGTGCAAAAATTTCAGCACACCACCTGGACACACCGAGGAACCAACCGTGACGAGCTAGCTTGGACCTGAGCCCCGGTTCAGACATGGCGGAAGAGTGCGCTTGCCAAGCAGAAGAGGGCCGCCTCGGATCGCTTTTTTTCTTTAAGCTTTTTGCAAAAAGTAACCAGCGGATTTGCATTAAACTCTCAGCATGGCTTTATCACTCCTGGGGCTACACTTGATTAAAGTTTCAGCCGAATCACACCAGCAGTTAAAAAGTTCCATTTTTATTTGTTCTCCTAAAGAACGATTTCGCCATGCAGGCGCTTAAAACGTTCTAGAAGTGGCCAGATGGTTGTTGTGTGCACAGCTTTTGTCCAAATCTACTACTTTACCTCCTGGACACCCCGAGGAATTAACCGTGACAGATGGACCTGAGCCTCGGTTCCGACTCATATAAAACAGGTTATTATAGTGATTGGCTAAAATTAACCCGGTTCCATAAAGTGAACAGTTTTTACCAGCTCTAGCCCCCAAACAATCCCACAAACCATTGTGCACTATATCTACTAGGTGGCGCTTAACAGTATCCCTGAAACGGTCCATTCCAGTTCACTTCTGGTTCAATACCCTTTCATCTTAAGTTTAAATTTAATTTATTTATGAGTTATAAGTTCAGTTTTATAAGTTTGAAATGATCTTCTTTACATTGAACTCATAGCATTTACATTTCTTTAATAACTCTTGATTGTGAAAGTTCAGTGTTCGCAAATATTTTAGTTGTGGTTTGTTTCCAGGGTTTGATCATTTGTAGCCTCCATATTTATAAATTGTGTATATATAGTTGTATGTCAGTAATTGACAGAATGATTTGTTCTATAGTGTTTTTAAGAAAACAAAATTGTGAATAAAAATGTACCGGCTTTTAAAATTTTCACCTAAAATGCACCTGACTGTATTATGTTATTTTTTCCAGTCTTGCAGAATTTATGCCTCAGGTGAAGGTGGAGCAAGTTGAAACTGTTGAAGGATGCTCACATGAGGTAAATAGAGCATACCAAATGAAGGTTATCAACTTTAAAGCAGCATTTGATTTGAAACGTTAAAGTTTTAAATGATAAACACGTCTTTTGTCAACAGGTTGCTCTACCTGCAGAAGACGAGTACAAACCACTAAAACCAAGAGTTGGGAAAGCCGCTAAGGTACAGTACTGTATTTGTATTGTTTTTTTATGCAATTGGTGTATGTGAATATGCCTACTAAGTTGCATTTATATTATTTGTTATACTTATTTTTATTTTTAATTAACTTCTATGTTTTGTCCTGCAGGAATACCCTTTTGTACTGGATCCCTTTCAGCGTGAGGCCATTTTGTGTATCGACAACAACCAGTCTGTGCTTGTGTCTGCACACACCTCTGCAGGCAAAACTGTGTGTGCTGAGTAAGTGTCCTCCTTGAACACAATGCTGTTTAGGCAGTCATTTTAGGTAACGACATTATGCTATAGTACAGCATGATTTAATTCTGTTTTTTTTCCTTTGTGAATGTTTTTTTATCCTGTTTTACCTAATACCCAACAGGAAAGACACACAGAACTTCTGTTTGTTTTTTACAGCACATAACCTTATCTACTACTTTTCTCCAGACTGTCTTATAATTAATAAGTATAGCTTTTATAGCATTTACTGAATTTTTGACAGTTTTAATTAGAAGGATCAACAAAATAAGGTCTGATTTATCAATATCCCAAATAACGAGCGCTATATAGCTGTGCTAAAAGTGGGCGTGGTGCGAGTAATTTACTAAGATTGCGTGCGCAAATGATAACTGGTGCAAAAGTGTTGCGGACCGCCCTATTTATACGAGGATTTTGCGTGTGGTAGGCTACTGGCTGTCAGCATGGAGAAATTGGAAGATCAGAGTGGCCGTAAAAGAAAAAGGAAGTTCGAAGCCAAAGAGTTGGAGGTGTTGGTGGAGGAAGCAAAAAAACACTTTGGTGAACTTCAGCAGAGACATCTAAGCGTTGCCAGAAGAACCGTGATTTGGGAGGCCATCTGTAAAAAGGTGAATGCTGTCGGCAGAATCAGAAGAACTGTTGATGAAGTGAAAAGAAGATTCCAAGATATCCGCAGAAGAACAAAGGAAAAACTTGCCCTCAATAAAACCTCAGCAAAGAAAACGGATGGGAGACCGGCAGAAGAGATACCGCTCACTCCACTCGAGCGGGAGATTGAATTAACAATCTGTGACGGGCAGATTGTTGGAATCGAAGGATATGACTCGCTCGAGCCAAACGTTTCAAACCAAGGTAGGCCCATAATAACAGAGACGCATTTCTTGTTTTGGACATATTTCATTGAGTGTGAATGTGGTTCATCCATAGAAAACAACAACAAAAAATAGATTTCATTATTTTAAAACGTTTTTTGTAAGGTGTCCGTCATGACCGTAAAAACTAACATTCATCTCTTTATTCTTAAACGGAGAATCTTCATCAGATGTCCGACAATCCCCACCACACTCCTCCAATCAGCTTAAACCAGAAAACATCTCAGCAGAGCCCCAAAAGCGTCACGATTATAATGACATTGATCAGGAGCACCGACAAAGCAATCAAACCGATGGATTACAGGCCATTGCACGCGAGGTGAGAGCTATGTCAAATGTGGCGCGAACTCTCCGCCGTGACACTCAGGCCATTGTTGCGCACACGAGGCAGCTAGTCAGCGCTGTGTCTGGACTGACCGTGGCCGTCAACGCCCTGGCAGCGGTCGCAAGATCATTCGGTGGCAGTGGTCCTTCAACTGAGCTGCCGGAGGAGGGAGGAGGGGCAGCGGGTGGATGCCAGCTCAACCTGCGAAAACGCAAAACCCCAAATAAAAAACTGGTTTTGAGGAAAAAAAGAAAATAAGGACACTTTTTTATCATGTATTTATTGATTAGAATATAAAATATTAGAACTAGGCTTTATTGTTCTACAGTAGGGAAGTTCAGATGCATAGTGATGGGCAGTTCACATAAGGTAAAAGAAAAAAATGAATGAAAATTTGTAAAGTTTGCTGTTCTGTGCTGGCTGTTAAAGTTCAGTTTTGTTTGTTTTAAAACATGCAACAATATTGAAGTTCATTCAGTATTTTAAGTTTTTGGTTTGGTTTTAACTGGATAAAAACATTAAAATATAAAATGTAAACCTCAAGTGGCTCATGAGAAATGACTTTAAATCAAATTAGCCCGTGTCTGCAGTCCCGCTGCGTCAGTCTGTCCTGCATGTGGCCAGACGTGATTTTCCTCCACATCCATGGCCTCATACCTCGGACAGTGTGCTCCAAACAATGGGACCAACTTTTTAAGCACGCCAAAGGAGCGCTCCACGATGATACTCATGTGAATGTGAGACACATTATTGTGATGTTTGGTGTATTAGGGTTGTGCACAGGGTTCTAGGGGAAGGGGTGAAGAGTTTATCACATTAAAATTACAGGTTAACATCTGTCATTAATAAGAGAAATAATTGTGCATAATATGTACACAAACTTACTTATTTAAATTTGTAATTAAACCTTTTGTGTCGCACACAACCTGAACATTCAAAGACTGTGTGCGCTTG